TGGCTCGCTGAGTGCCGATCCTGCGAAACATGGTCCAAAGCGGAGGATGAAGAGACGAGAAAAAGTATCTCTCTTCCCTAAGAATACAATTCCCGAATACTTACCTTTATGAAAGGGTAGAGGTCGGGGTAGTCAGTCGCAATGGCTACCTCCGAGCCACCAAGGCTCGCCTGATAGTATACTCCATCTTCAAACTCTACAAAAATGTCCGGATCCTCATGGAATCCAGGGTCCTCATTGTGATCGTGATCCTCTGGCTTGGGGCGGGGCAGTTAATGTTCTGGACAATTTGCCTCCATGACTATTTAAAAAGTAACTAGGGGATTCGGTTAATGCATCTCAATGAGTAAAAAAGTACTAAACGGTTAGAAAACTTACCCATTCAATGGGATTGTACATGGAGAAGGCCTCTCGGCAATTTAAATGAAGGAAGTCTTCTTCTTCTCCTTTATAAAGGTCGGCCAGTGTTGCGGCCAATGCGGCTTGGCTATTCAAACCCTTTCACCTATAGCAGGACGTGTCGTCCTCCCCGTTATAGTTCCATAAGGGGGTTACCCTGGATTGAAGTGGCTGGATGCACCTCTATATCGCAATGGCCATAACTTCCACTATGGAAAGTCCAGAATGGGTCAGTACCTTGACCTCGTTTACCAATCTCATCACTTCCGCACTGTCTTCCTGAGCAGGGGACTTGGAACGCCAGCTATATAGCTTTTTCAAGGGGGCGCTGGAAAATTCTGGCAGTCCGCGCCGAACATGGTCCAGAAGAGGTACATCCTCGATATAGAACCATTCCGAAGACCATTCGGCGGATCCCTTCTTCGGAGTCTCGACTGGGTAGCCGGATCCGGCTATACGCCATACTTCGGCGCCGCTCACTTAAAAAATAGACCCGCCGCCCTGATGGCGGGGGACGAGGCAGAAGAACTTTTTCCATAGTTCAAAGTGAGCCTCGTAGCCCAAAAATAATTCGCAAAGGGCGACGAAGCCAGAGATATGTAAAATAGAACCTAGTGTGAGGTTGTGCAGTTGAATCTCGTAGTGTTCCAGTAGGCCCCTAAGGAAGGGGTGGATTGGGAATCTCACGCCCCTCAAAAGGAATGACATGAAGCATACGCTCTCCCCTTGGCTGGGATTGGGGAAATTCTTGCCAATGCATCAACACCCATAGAAGTTAACCCCGCCCGTAAGAAGACTAGATCCGAGGGAGGGAGATATCCTTGTGTTTGGAGCCGACTGAGCTAGAGGTGGGATACAGAGCAACTCTGCCAGTCCCCTTCTTGAGGGCCATGGGGGCGCGAGGAGGATCCAGGGGCATTCGCCATGGTCCGAATTTTTCCGTGGCTCGCTCTGGTGCTTTTGGTGTGATGCGGGATGGCGTTTTGAAGATCTCATCTCGTTTTATAGGCGCGACCTGTGCCTGTCAGAAATATTAAAATATAAGGATAACGGACCGTTCGCATTCACTCAGACGTGTGGAAATCGAGGCGACGGCAAGGAGGAATCATAAAGATTGGACGCGGAAACCGATACTGGACTATCATCAATACGGAATATAATAGGGAACCCACCTTGCAAAGCCGAAGACTTGCCCCCGCATACTACATCGTCATTAGAGGCAAGTTCAGGGGCTACTGAGGGAGTCCTGGATTTGGGGGTCCCCAGGTGTCCGGCCCAGGAGTACGGGCTGAGTTGCATGGACCGTACAGGATCAAGCTGAAGATTATCTATCGTGTCCGGATGGGACTTCTTTGTACGTGGACGGCAAGAATAGAGTCCGAAGGTTTCCTTCCCTGATAAACCGACCTTGTACAAACCCTAGGCCCCCTCCGGTGTGTACATAAACTCGAGGGGTTAGTCTGTAGAGGGCACCTTTTCATCATCATTGGAATCCCCATAGGCTAGACATCTAGGGTTAGCCATTACGATATTGAGGTAGATCAACTCTTGTAATCTTCATACTCGTCGAATATAATCAAGGAGGAGTAGGGTTTTACCTCCATCAAGAGGTAAAACCCTAGCCTAAACACTGTGTCCCCTGGCTTCCTGTTACCATCGATCCTTAGACGCACAGCTTGGGCCCCCCTACCCGAGATCTGCCAGTTTTGACACCGACACCCACCGCTCGCCTTCGGGTAAGCTCGCCTCCGGCTCACGCCCCCGTTCCGTGGCGCTAGCTAGGCTAGCCGGATTGGGATTGGACGATCCTGTCCCCATTCGACAGCCCGTTTCGCCATAGGATGCCCTCTCCTCTCGGCTCTCGCTCATCCTAAAGTTTCGATGCTAGATTGCTGCCGCGTTGGATGATTTTGGCTGCTGCTTTTGCAGGTACGACCACCTCACCTGGGAGTGGAAGCGGGGCCTTCAAAGTTACCTCCACCCGCTAGTCTTCGCCGCCCTTTACAAGTTTCTGGCATTTCTCCACCTCGATACCCCGTGGTTCATGGTAATTACTCCGGCATTTTGGAAATGAATCTGGCAGAGTATGGGTGCTGGAAATTTGTTTGAGAAAATTTCAGAATTGGAGGGTAGAAGTGTGTGATTCTAGTCACAAGTCATGTGGAGTCCGAACTGTCAGTCAACATAGGTCCCACCGTTCTAGTTGTAGGTTAAGTGCGAGCAATTTCCAGGAATATGAGACATCAACTTGAGTAGGTTATCTCCGGCTACACGGTAACTGAATTCCTCATTCAGTTTGTTTTCTAAGGCCAATGTCGTCCAGGACATTCAGAATCTGTATATTGTTTCTGTTAATTATAGCCAATTAGGCAGCGGATTTCATATGGCTAAGAAACCTCTCCTCAGACACCTCCCCTCCACATCCGCTCCCTCGTAACTTAATAGATTTACCACTCTCCGCGTATAGGGACCATGTTCTCATCCATTTATTCACTTTTTTTGTAGGTGATGGCTCCACGGCTTCTACAGTCAGTATTTGCAGCGTTTGGAGATCTATACTTGTATAAACTCTCCAAACTTATTTTCAACGAGCACGTTGCACAGTGGACAGTATCCTTAAACTCATATGTGTTGACATGATTTTACTTTCACAAATAAAGTATTGCAGTTACCTGGTGGATGGTGACCTTAACAAATCATTTACAGCTATTTTCGCAGTTGGTGAACTGGTTCATGTTTTTCTGTATTACACAGACTCTATCAAACAGCTTGGAGACAATTTTGATTGTCTGGACTCTATTATTGGTTAATTGCAATCGAGTCTTCCAAGGGAATTTCAGTTATTTCAAAGTAGAAGGCTGCCAGCTACCAAAGTCCTCATTCAAAAAAATGGCACTACTCATAGCAGCCTTAGCTTGCGCCATTCGGCCAACAAGTGCCATAACATGGTTGTATGTTGGTCTTTTGGACTTCATTTATATAAAATTGAAATGCCGAATTTTGTTTCTTGAGGTCATTCCTATAGGGTAAGAAGTCATTATTAAACTCATGTCATGCCGAATTTTGTAACCGGGACAAATCAACCGGGACTAAAGCCTATAACCTTTAGTCTCGGTTGGCTTACGAACCGGGACTAAAGGGGATCCACGTGGCCGCCGGCTGGATTGGGGCTGGAGGACCTTTAGTCCCGGTTGGTGTTTTTGATTTTTTTTTGTTTTTTGGATTTTTTTCTTGTGGTTTTCGAATCTTTGAATTATTTGACAATTTAATCTCTAATCACCCCTCCTCACTGCTCCAACATGGAGCACTCATTCTAAATCGTCTAACTTCCCGACTGGTCACCCATCCTCTCACTGCTTCAGCCCCAACACGCTTAATTTCCTGGTTTTATCGCCCCTAGTTTCCAAGTCTGCACTTGTTGTTTTCCTGACAATAGTAAGCTATCAATCCTATTAACCCTTAGGTCTTGATTTTACGTGATTTAATTTTTTGAATTCCAAACAACTATTCAAAAAAATCCAGAAATGTCAAAAAAATTAAAAAAATTCCAAAAAGTAAAAAAAAAATAATCAAATTTTAATTTCAAAATTTCAAAAAAAAATCGAAAAAGCAAAAATTATAAAAAAAATTCAAAAATTCAATTATGATGAAATTATAATGTCAAAATCTTTTAAAATATCATTTAAAACAAATAAAAAACACTAAAAACCCTAAACCCGAAACCCGGGACTTAAAACGTCCGAAACTCTATTCTAAACAGTAAACTGTAAAGGTTCAAACCATAAAACCTAACCCTAAACTTGGAAATCTAAACCCTAGCCCTAGACCCTAAAATGTCTAAAACGTCCAAACACTCTATTTTCCCTTTGAAATTTTTTGATTTTAAAAAATTGTCCTAAACCCTAAATCCGGGACTTAAAACGTCCGGAACTCTATTCTAAACAGTAAACACTAAAGGTTTAAACCATAAAACCTAACCCTAAACTTGGAAATCTAAACCCTAGCCATAACCCCTAAAACGTCCAAAAACTCCATTTTCCCTTTGGAATTTTATGATTTAAAAAAATTGTCGAAATAGAAAACTTGTTCAAAATGCCGCCAGTCGTAACAACCGGAACCGGTGGCTGTGGCCGATCTTGGACAAAGGGAGTAGAAAAAAGAAATTGTCACTAGGCACTAAATTAAAAGGCAGTCCAGAAAACTAATATGAAATGCTATAAAAATATATAAAAGTGATAATATAGTAGGAGGAAACAATAAAAGATTATAGATACCTTTGAGACATATCAAGCATCTATGTTTGTACTGTGTTTTAATAAAATAATAATTGTTCTTTCTTTAAAAAATAATCTTTTTTTGAACAACGAAAAATCATTTCAGTTTCTGGCGCAAAAGGCAACCGCTTCAGTTTTTCTAATCGAACGGCCGCAACGCGTCTTGCGCACAGCGGCCAGGCCCACCTGGCACTGGCACCGAGAGCCGACCCACCCAACGGCCCATTAGCCGCAGCGGCGAAGCCCGCGATTCGCTGAGCCCGAGCGCCCTAGAACCCCCGCCGTGTCCGGCGACGACGACGACGACGCCGACGAAGAGGAGGCGAGATGGGCGTGGGGGGCAGCTTCTGGGACCTCCTGAAGCCGTACGCGCGGCAGGAGGGGCCGGGGTACCTCCGCGGCCGCCGCGTCGCCGTCGACCTCTCCTTCTGGATCGTCTCCCACAGCACCGCCATCCGGGCGCGCTCGCCCCACGCGCGCCGCCCCCACATCCGCAACACCTTCTTCCGGACGCTCTCCCTCTTCGCCAAGGTCCGTTGGGTTTCCCCTCTCTCCCTCCCCCCCTCTCGCCTCTCCCTTCGGCCTCTGTCCCCCATCTCGTCTCTGGATTCTAGTTTTGTTCCTCGTCGATTTCTCCCGTTCGTCGATGCCCCCCGGCGATTGGTCTCCTGCATTGAGGTATTGGGACATCCTGCGTCCCGCGGTGGTCGTCCCGCGCTGTTCAAGCGCCAATCTTGGAGATGCGGCCGCGGCCCAATCTGTGTTGGGAATACTCCTTTGTGTTTGATTCCCCTGTTTTTTTGGCTCACTGGTTGGGTTTGTCTTTGGAACTGCTGCAGATGGGTGCTTTCCCGGTGTTCGTGGTGGACGGCGAGCCGTCGCCGCTCAAGTCGCAGGCCAGGGCCGCGCGCTTCTTCCGAGGCTCTGGGGTGGACCCGCCTGCGTCGTCCAGCGCGGAGGCGGAAGGGGACGCCAGTGCCCCGGCGCCGGTGAAGGCCAGAAATGCTATCTTCACGCGATGCGTCAAGGACTGTGTGGTCAGTGCCCCTTTTTTGCAAATTTTGTTTTCACTTTATCAAGATTCACAATTTAGTTTTGGTTCAGAAAGATTGGCTGAAATGCAATGTTTTAACACTACTTGATCATCATTTTTGTGTGTGAGTGTGTGTTTGTAAGCCTTTGAGACATTTCATTAGTAGTTTATGTAAGTTTCGAATCTAGGTTTGCTGATGCATTTCGGACTTGTTATCTAGGGTTACTATTGGAAACCGGGAAAAGTTTCTATCTTTGACAGTATTCATTTTCTGTGACACATAGGAGTTGCTTAAAAATCTTGGAATGCCAGTATTGTGGGCAAAGGGTGAAGCTGAAGCCCTTTGCGCTCAGTTGAACAATGAGGGTGAAGTGGATGCCTGCATTACTTCAGACAGTGATGCTTTTCTCTTTGGAGCTAAGACTGTCATAAAAGTGATGCGGTCGAATTGTAAGGTAGGCACTCTGTTATACTTATACCATGAGATGAATGATTTGCTCCACTTTCCCTGTACCATGGTGTGACGATCAGGAATTTCTTTCAGGAACCTTTTGAGTGCTACAACATAGCAGATATTGAGTCTGGGATTGGATTGAAGAGGAAACAAATGGTAGCCATGGCACTTCTTATCGGCAGTGACCATGATTTGCATGGCGTGCCTGGTTTTGGTGTTGAGACCGCACTTCGGTTTGTGCGGTTATTTGATGAAGATCAGATTTTAGATAAGTATGTTTCCTACTTTGATGAGAGATTCTTGTAATTTTGTAGCGCAATGAGTTGCCCAACATTGCATTTCTGAACCTAATCTTATTTCTACTTCTCCAGATTACATGAAATTGGTAAAGGAATCTATCCATTCCTAGAAGGATTTGACAAGGCCCATGTTGATGATCTACCATCACCATCCACAAAGAGCCCACCAGTTGCGAGATCGCCTCACTGCTCACACTGTGGTCACCCCGGTAGCAAGAAAAATCACAGCAAGACTGGATGCAATTATTGCTTGGTGGATTCATTAGAGTTCTGCATGGAAAAACCAGCTGGTTTCATATGTGAATGTCCTAGCTGTGAAAAGGTAATCTCACTTGATCTACTGTAAAGCATGACCTTCTCGGCAGTGTATTCCACAGTTCATTACACGTGTATTGTATAATAGACAATGCCTGATTTGGATAAAAAACTGTTCCTTATGCCTGTCCAAGGTTGTTTGATAGCACTACCGTCAGGCCTCAGCTGCTAATTTGTGTCCGCATACTTGTATCCATTATCTTTACTGAATTCTGCACAAAAACTGGTTTCTTGACTTGTTCACTGTCATAATGCTTCTGATGTTTTCTGTTCAATCAAATAAAATGTACTTATTCCTTGCCTTTAAATGGTTTATGGATCTCAATTCTCTTTATTAATAGTATCTTTGTTGGAATGAATTTTAGGCGCGTGATCTGAAAGCACAGAGAAGACATGAGAATTGGCAAATCAAGGTGTGCAAAAGATTAGCTGCTGAGACAAATTTCCCAAATGAGGAGATAATTAAATTGTATCTATGTGATGACAATTTGGATAAAGGTAAATGTTAATAACACTGCTTTTAATATTTCTCGATTTCACCTGTACTTGAGAGTGAAGCTTCTGAACTTGCTGCAAGTGCCAGTTGTATTATCCTTACTTTGTTCTTAACTATTTACCTACATCAGAATCTGTTGATTGTCCTCATCGATATGTACTAAGTGAGTCATCATTGTGCTGTCTGCAGAAAGTGGTGATCGAAAGCTTGAGTGGACTGATCCTAAAGTTGATGATTTGGTTGACTTGCTAACTTATATGCAGAACTGGGAACCGTCGTATGTCCGACAGCACATGCTCCCTATGCTATCAACTATATATATGCGCAAAATGGCTTCATCTCCGTGTAAATCATTGCTTCTCTGTGACCAATATGAGTTCCATTCAATTCAGCGCATTAAGATAAAACATGGCCACCCTTACTACCTGGTCAAATGGAAGAGGGCCACTGGTGGTATTGTTTCTGGTGGTGCGTCTCACAAGAAGCCAGAATTAGATGGGGAGAGTCACGCTGAGGTGGTGGTTTTGGACGATGACGAGGAGGAGGAAGAGGAGGAGGAGGCAACGGTGAATATTGAATCTGCTGACTCGTTGGATGAGCCAGATCTGCCACAAGTACTCAGGGATGATGATCAAGTATTTCTATTGACTGATGAAGATATACAGCTCGTGAATGCTGCATTTCCTAATGAAGCACGGCAGTTTCAGGAAGCACAGGTATGCATCGTTACTTCCTTTCTTCCCTGTGGATGAGAAGTAAAATCGTGATGATGCTTCCTGGACATTATACGAAGCTACATTTGCATTACATCTGCATTTACATCTATCTCTTGAATACCGTGGTTAAAATATCCACTGAATTTGTTGCAGAGGCTCAAAGAAGCAAAATCAAGATCACGGAAATCCAAGCTGAGCCAAGCAGAGAGCATGCTGGAGACACCAAAGGGTCCAAGACCCAGCGGGGTTCAGCTCAGCATCAAGGAGTTTTACCGGTCGAAGAAAGCGGCGGGAGACGAAGCCGGGAAGAAGCCGGTCATCGAGGGCGAGACGTCTACGTCGAGAGCTGGCTCGAGAAAATCACCACCGGTGGACCTGACAAAAAGGATGCCCAAGTCCCTGCGACGACGCTTGCTCTTCGACTGAGACAGCCCGCAGTTGGGTTGTCCTGACGGTACTCTTGCTGCCACTGCTGTACATGCTCTCGGTGAATGTGTTAGTGTTTCTCTTGGCCCCTTAGATGTAAATTAGTTATGTAGTGCATCTTCTGTATAGTGAAGACGCGATCTTATTATTGTGGAGGAAAGAGAGCAGGCTTTTGTTTTAAGGACAATTTAACTGAGTGTTGCAGCCTCTTGTGGTGTGTGCTGTGATCACCAGACCAGATACAAGGGTTGATGCAATATTTTGTAGAGTTTCAGCATGTAGAACAATTTTTTTAGTGGATGCCGCTTGATTTCTACGACTAGAAATCTTGTAAGTTTGCATCGTCTCTTTGATGTTTCACTTAAGAAATTCTCGGAAAATTATGTACTTTTGTCTAAGGGTAAAATTACATACTTCTGGCCACTGTTGGCATTGCCTCTGTGCTGTGGATAATTAGGATGACTGAAAATCCGGAAGGCTGTGCGGTTCGAATGAGCCGAAAGAACGCGGCCGACAGGGAGAAAATGGCCTTCCCACTATTTGAGCCCAATCCACTCGTCGAATGAATGTAGAGAACGAAGCTGCCCATTACCTAAAAAAGTAAACTAAAAAAAAAGAGAGCCGCCGCACTGGCTTAACGCTGCAAAACGCCACGCGTCGGCATGTCGCCGGCCTGCTGGCAGTCGGCGCCGGCCCCACGCATGCTCCGAGCGCGTCACGCAAAACTATATAACAGCGCACTCCACACAGTTATCCACCAACGGTCCAGCATACATATACACACACACACACACACAATCCTAAGCTAAAGCCGGCATCGAGCTAGCTCACCGTTCACCGGTCGATCGGCAGCAGTGCAAGATGGAGATGGGCAGCGAGCGATGGACCTCCCCGTCCACGCCGACGTCCTCGCGCGACCACCACGCGGCGGCGCCGGCGAAGCGGCCGGCAGGGTGCACCAAGTTCAAGGAGACGCGGCACCCGGTGTACCGCGGCGTGCGGCGCCGGGGCGGCGCCTGCCGGTGGGTGTGCGAGGTGCGCGTCCCCGGCAGGCGCGGGTGCAGGCTCTGGCTCGGGACCTACGTCACCGCCGAGTCCGCCGCGCGCGCGCACGACGCCGCCATGCTCGCGCTGGGCGGCCGCTCCGCCGCGTGCCTCAACTTCCCGGACTCCGCGTGGCTGCTCGCCGTCCCGTCCGCTCTCGCCGACCTCGCCGACGTCCGCCGTGCAGCGCTCGCCGCCATCGCGGGCTTCCAGCGCCGGGAGACCGCCAACTGCGCCGCGACCGTTCCCGTGGACGAGGTGTTCGACACCTCCAGTTCGTCCAGCTCTGGCTCGTGGGCGACGCCGCAGCCTTGTGCGGCCGCCGACGGAGTGTTCGACGTGCCGGCGGCAGCACTGGCCAGCGACATGTTCGACTTCGAGTTGGATGTGTCGTGGGTGATGGACATGGGCTCGTGGGTGATGGACATGGGCTCGCGGGCGACGTCGCAGCCTGGTTGTGCGGACAAAGTGTTGGAGGTGCCGGCGGCCGCACTAGGCGGCGACATGTTCGACTTGGAGCTGGACATGGCCGGGGAAATGGACCTGGGCTACTACTACGCGGATTTCGCAGAGGGGCTGCTCTTCGAGCCTCCGCCACCGGCCGATGACACAGAGGCGTGGTGGCAGAACGGGCACTACTACGACGGCAACGGCGGAGGTGACGCCGCGCTATGGAGTCAGTAGTGAAAGAAATTGCCCTGATTTGACTTTCTCCGTGGGACGAACTGAATCGGCTTCCAGCGTATTAAAATTTATTCATGAACCCCTTAAACGTACAAAAAGAATCTGACGACTTTGAACGAAATCAAACGCGGTGGTTGTTGAGTGTGCAAAATGTATGAAGGGATATTTCTCGACAAATATCGTGAAAGTGCCAATTACACCTAGCATCTGCACCAATAAAATGTCGCAAAGATATTCAGAATGCACACAGCCTAAAAAAGAAAACGAAAGGACATAAAAAAACAAAGGCTCCGCCACAGTGATCAAGTCCTCTCAGCAGCACCACACAAACAACCTCAAAGACAACACCCGAAAAGCAGAAAGGTCTCCAAAAGCGACGCCTTCAAGAAGAGAACAGTGCGTCGTCGCCCGATCAAAGATCTTAACTTCTCATCCTAAAGAAAGTCTGAGCTCTCAAAACAATACTTTCAGCAAGGCAATTGCGAGGCACAATCAATGAATGTCAGACCTTAGGTTTTCACCTTGAAAGTCAAACTCGACACTCGAGGAGCACCACTAAAAATGAAATCCTCCAGTGTTGTCGCCCCTACTTGCCACCGATGCTCCTGAAAGTTATCAAACACAAGGATGTGAGGTATCGTGTCCAGAGTGGACCGGAAGTCCCGCAAGCCGATTCCGAGCACCAGCTTGTCAAGCATCGCCTCCAAGGCCCCCCTCTGTCATTATTGGCCCTCCAATCTCAGCCATCATGACCTTCTCCACCGTTCTCTATACCATGGAAGTCGAGACACCGGCATGTCCCATGGTGTCAACAAACAACAGAGCTTCGTGTCGCGCCCTCATGAAGCTCCATTGGCTGGTATGGACGTGCACGGCCGGATTCTATCTGATTCAGATATCCAGTGGCGTTTGCGGCAATCCTTGAAGATTTTCGGCAAAAGTTCCAGAACACAACGACGCAAGGTAATTATGGGAGAATTTGGCAGCTCAAGAACGATATATCCCACGGTAAAGAAGTTCATCCGGTTGAAGTTACACTCGAATTTCTGCATAGCTACTTCAAATCCATCGGCTATGCCAAGAAATAGCGGCGTTTCGGAGATGATAGCCCCCTCCTGCAATGGCCGCCATTGCCAGCAAACTTTGCAGCCATATCCATCAATGGTTTCTTCTCACCGGCGGTTGGAGCAACAACGGTCGGGATGGTGTTAAGAAGGGAAAATGGGTCGGTAATTTTGTAGGCTACCTTCATATCTTCAACCGATGCACTAGAAGTGGAGCTACGTGCGATCATGCAAGAAATGGCTCTTGCGCTTGACCACACAAACCTTCTGGTCGTCATGCAGTCCGATTCTTCAGAGGCCATTGCAATACTCTCAGGTGATGCCATTTCCAGTTTGGCATACAGCCACATTATCATGGAGATCAAAGCTATGCTTCGGACATGAAGTTTGTTCTCCAGAAGCTAGGATGTGAACAAAATGAAGTTGCAGATCGGCTAACAAATTATAGTCTCATGGATTATGTCATGGCTGTATGGCTCAACCAAGGACCCCCCGTGTATCGAGTCTTCTTTTCTTCTTGATTGTAGCACCGTAACATTGAAATAGAACTTCCTTTCACTCGAAAAGAAAAAGAGGTCCCACCTACCCCCGTACCCACCACCACCGCCGCCCACCACCACCGCCGTCGTCGCATCCACCACACGCCGTGCTCCCTCCGACGAGACGTATCGAGGATCGCCCCCCAACCTCCCCCATGCCGCTCCTCATCAGATCCATAGGGATCCCGCTGGGGAAGGGGAGGGGATACCGAGTGCCGCTCCCTTTCGTCTACCAGGCTTTTCCGGATCTACTTCAGCCAGTCGATTCGGTCTCGCCGGAGGTCCTAGCAGCGACAAGGGAGATGCGCTGGAGGGAGAGGGCGAGGAGGATCATGGACGACGCGCTCTCATGGTCCCATTGTACGCGGGAATGGAAGGAGGTGGAGGAGGAGCTGGATCCGGAGGCAGGAGAGTTCGAGCGGAGGTACGTGCAGATTTGCAAGGATCATGTCAACAGGGAGTTGCTAAATCTCGCCTGGAGGATCTACTTCGAAGGCACATGGGAGGAGAAGCACATGATGCCACACCCCTGAGAATCACCATTGGCATTTGTCAATTGGGCGAGGCAGGAAGGGAGATCCGAGGATCCGAGAAGATCAGAGAGATGGAGCTGCATCCTTGGCCTCATGCCGACCAGGCGCCCGGCGGATTCAGAGCAGGTGGACCCGCTCCCATACCTCTTGCCGATGCCGGCGGCAGATTGAAGCTACAAAGCGAGAGGGACTCTATTCAGTTTGCTGAAGATGATGACACCTACTTGGCCTTCAACATTTGGATTGTTGATTCCCTGGGTGATGCTCGCAAACCTATAAGTTTCTCTGCTTACCATCGTGACCATCTCTGTAAACACGGGATCAACGGAGAAGGAATACACACTTCGTCAAATCTGATGCTCTTGACCGGAGAATCTAATCAACAAGCCATCCCTGCTCATGAACAAGTTGCTGTTACAGTAGAGGATGCAAGGTACGTTGAGGCTCAAGTGGTTGATCAAGAGCGAGTTCCGTGCAATTCGGATGCAGCTGGGCCTCTCAAACTTATGTGCGCCACTGATGAAGACTATGATTATGATGCTGCTGGAGTTTCAATTGTTAAGGACAGAGCCCCCCAATGTGATGCAGAACACAAGCGGGAAGCAACGGCTCTTCTAATTTTGTAGCGATCTGGGGGCTTCAATTTCCTTCAGAAAAGGAGGCATGTGCAAAAAGTAAGAGATAAAGTTGCTGATCAGGATGATGTCGGTGTCAAAACCGGCGGATCTCGGGTAGGGGGTCCCGAACTGTGCGTCTAAGGCTAATGGTAACAGGAGGCGGGGGAAACGATGTTTACCCAGGTTCGGGCCCTCTCGATGGAGGTAATACCCTACTTCCTGCTTGATTGATCTTGATGATATGAGTATTACAAGAGTTGATCTACCACGAGATCGTAGAGGCTAACCCTAGAAGTTAGCCTATGATTCTGATTGTCCTTGTCCTACGGACTAAACTCTCCGGTTTATATAGACACCAGAGAGGGCTAGGGTTACACAGAGTCGATTACAGAGAAGGTAATCTACATATCCGAATTGCCAAGCTTGCCTTCCACGCAATGGAGAGTCCCACCCGGACACGAGACAAAGTCTTCAATCTTGTATCTTCATAGTCCAACAGTCCGGCATAAGCATATAGTCCGGCTATCCGAGGACCCCTTAATTCAGGACCCTCAGTAGCCCCTGAACCAGGCTTCAATGATGATGAGTCCGGCGCGCAGATTGTCTTCGGCATTGCAAGGCGGGATCCTTCTCCGAATACTCCAAAGTAGATATTGAACACCAGAATCGTGTCCGGCTCTGCAAAACAAATTCCACATACCACCGTAGAGAGTACAATATTCCACGAGTCTAATTTGCTGACAGCTTTTCCATAGTGTGACACCACGCCGTGGCCCAGTCATTATTCGAACCGTTTTCTCAACCTGCTACTACACATCTTGCGAGGCAGTTTTTATTGGCACGTCTTGTCGAAGCAGAGATCGTGTCCCCCTTATCACGGGATTCTCATCAATACGGGCGTGGGTAACCCAACCGCGCTATTAGCACGACGCTTGGGAAATAAGCGAGTTTTTAGGGCAAGTTGGGAGGCACATGACTGCCGTCTTTATAAAGAGATAAGGATTCCCCTTTTTCACCCACACCTCCTTCTTCTTCTGCCTACTCTCTTTCGCTCGAGCTCCAGCATCCAAGCATTCGCCTTCTCCGCCCTCAAAGGCATTCCAAAAATGTCCGGAGCCGGAGCTGGAGGCAAGTGGATGGCCTCTACCGTCTAGGAGAAGGATATTAAGAAACTTCGGGAGGCCGGGTATCTGGCCGAGAAGATCAGCCACCGTCTTCCGATGGCGGGACAGATCGTCCCTACTCCGGAACCCCACGAGAGGGTCGTATTCCTCCCTCACTTTCTCCGCGGTCTAGGGTTTCCCCTCCACCCATTCGTTCGCGGCCTTATGTATTACTATGGGATCGATTTCCATGATCTATCCCCCAATTCCTTCCTCAACATCTCGACATTCATCGTCGTGTGTGAGGCCTTCCTCCGCATCTCTCCACACTTTGGATTACGGCTGAAGATTTTCATTGTGAAGCCCAAGGTGGTGAACGGAGAGCACGCCGAGTGCGGAGGAGCCATGGTGAGCAAGATGCCCAATGTCACATGGCTATCAGGTACCTTCAATGATTCCGTCAAAGGATGGCAAATACAATGGTTCTATGTCACTGAGCCACGCGACACAAAACGGGTCGCAGCTCCCGAGTTTCGATCCGGAGCTCCATTGCGGCTTATGTCCTGACCCAGAAAGGGCCCGAACTGGTCTTCGCCAGACGAGCTGGCGATGCTCCAGGCGCGTATCAAGAGTATGGGAGACAAGAACATCAAACTTGTCGACATAGTCCAGGTGATGTTAGTTCACCGGACTCTCCCCTGTCAACGCAGGGCTTGCAGCTTATGGGAATTCGATCCGACCAAGCACCAGACCCTACTAGGGATCTTCGGCTCATTGCACGAAGACATCTGAAAGTTGCTCTTTAAGTCCGGCAAATCGTGGCCGAACTTAGCCGAGGACCGCGGGTACAAATTGTCCCGACCCGCGAGTTCGGTAAGTCTTCGTATGTTGGCAAATCGTATGCGTTATCCGCATACTCCAAAGGAAACGCCTAACATATTTTCCAACAACTCTCCTAGGGATGGATGAAGAAGGCAGAGCGGATCTATTGCCCGGCCCCGCTACCAGAAGAACAAGCCGGCCTGCTTATGACGAAGATGCTAGTCCCGGTGCCTTATGAGGCGCCGAAGAAGAAAGCCAAGAATGAGGCCAAAGAGACCAGGGGCGGCCTGCATCGCCAGGGTACTTCGGACATAGTGTCTGA